CTGGAGGTGAATGTGAGAGACGATACCATGGCCTAGCATGAGAGACAGGCTGGGGAGGCTGTAACAAAAATATGGAGTATAGGAAAAGAAGAGCTAGTTTCAGGGTTAAAAAAATAGCTCATTTTTAAACACCTTGAGAGTTTCATATATCTGAGGATGTCTAGGTGTAGAGTCTTTTGTGCAGTTAGAAATGTGTAAAATTCTTAGCTTGGAACCCCATTGAATGTGGATATGGCTGGTGTTGTTCAATTGACTATGTTGACTTCTAACTTAGATAAAAAGAGACAAATTTTTGAAACTGGTAGTATCACATTGATTTCATGATTTGTGCTTTTTTGGGCCATGATTGGCAATATGTCAAGGGAAAGTCACTTACTGGTTTTATTCTTTGGTTAGATGCATACACCTATGAAAACCCCACCTGAAATCTGAGGTGGTAACAATTTTATTTTAGGTAGCTATGCTCTTAGGTAGCTATTCCTTTCTCATTTGGTAGTGAGTTCAGAAAGGAAGTGTCATAGTCTTCTTGTTAAACTTAGAACCATGTCTAATAGGAACACATGTGGAAATTAGTGGATGGATGAATAGATGGATGGATGAACAAATTTGTAATCTAATGGCAGGGATATGGAACACTTTCTGGAAGTAACCATGTATGGGTTGAAAACCTATTTTATACATACATGCCTAAGTGACTTTTCAGCAAGTCACTGACTGCATACAGCAACACATGGAAAAAAGATCACCATAGGCATTTTAAAATGCCTATGGCATTTCATCATATCATGTTCTTTTGGCAAAGCAGAACCAACGTGGGAGTTTTAAAGCTATGGCTATAAAAAAACCTTTTCTTCATACTTAACCTTTGATATTGTTGCATGAAAGAGAAGTATTTAAATTAATTGTTATTAAAATCTCCTTTGCTTGGTACTGTCCTAGAAGCTGGTAATTGGATACATGGCCAAATTTTTATTTTAGGAAGACAACTTTGTGAATCATATGAAGAGGCTGGAGGAGGAAAAAAATGGTTCCAGTTGGCCAGAGGAGAGATGATGGTGAAGGCTTGGTATAGCGCAATGTCAGTGAATTGGAGGAAGCCCATTAATTCATTCATTTACTTTCAAATATTTATTCGCTGTAAGATACCTGACTTGGGAAGCAGTATTGGCCAAACCAGATAAATTCCTACCCTCTTGGAGTTTATAGACAAGTTTAAGGGATGTACATTAATCAAATCATTATACTAATAAATGTAAAATTGCAGATATGAGAAAATGTGGTATGGTTAAACTGAAAAAAAATCTTAGAAGTAAAATTGACAGGACTCAGAAAAATCAAGATGGTAGAAGAGTGAATGGAAGTCATGCTGACCTCCTCCCAGGACCAATTACGACTATATTGTGGAGGAATCACCTAGAAAAAACAACTGAACAATAGTGAAAGAGGGGCCTTATAACATCAGACAGACAGAAGAATCAGCTTTAGCACAACCTAACTAGTAAGGAGTGTGGTAGACTCGATAAGGCAGGGGTGGTGCCTATGGATGGCAGCACCAGAAGGATATTGAAACGGCCAGTTGGATCCCCCTGAGAAGAGCGGGGTCTAAACCATAAGCGAGGATCTCCAGCCTACAGCACCAGAGCCCAGAAAGTACCCAGATAACAACCAGCTGTGAAAGCGGCAGGGTTGCTCTCTGCCAGAGATGGGCAGCTGTAGGCACAAAGAGCTTTTTAAAGAGCCAAAATATAAATTTTTATTTGCAGCCACTTACCCTGGTCTCCAGTAAAGGCGGGGGCAGAGTGGGCTAGAGACACCTGAGGAGAGACTAGGGAAGGAGGCTATGGGGAGAGAACTGAGAGAGTAGCTGGCAGGATCCTGGTCCTGACTCATCCCGCATACAGTAGCAGCAGTCTTGCTCAGTCAGACCACTTCCCTGAGTGGCAACAGCCTGAGAGGATGCAATAACTCCACCCCCAGGAGGGACTCGGCCCTGGCCTGGTGGTGCTAAAGCCTGACTGCTGAGTACAGGGTGTCAACCACAGATAGTAGATCCCTGGTTAAAGGGGGTGCAGAGTGGTCTAGAGACTCTTGAGGAGAGACTGGAGACAGAGGCTTTGGGGAGAGAACAGGACAGAGTAGCTGGCAGGATACCAGTGCTGACTCTTCCCCCATAGGGTAGCAACCATCTGGCTCAGGCAGACCATTCCCCTGAGTGGCATCAGTGTGAGAGGACCCAATAACCCCACCCACAGGGGAATCTGCCCTGCCCTGTGGTGTCCAAGCCTAACTGCTAAGTGCAGAGTGACTGGATTAATGACTGAAGGGGACAGTCACAGACAGTAGATTCTTATAAGTCTTGAACAGACTACCTAAGGTCAGACAGGGTCAACATCTGACATCATCAGAGGCAGGTCCAGAAAGAGAAAACAACAGTCTCCTACCATAGAAGTTCACACCACAAAGTCAGGAAGTCAAGACAGATCAATTTTAGAAGCAGAAGCAAAAGAGAAGAGTCTCACAAATAATGAGAAGTCAAAGAAACACCCCCCAATTGAAGGGAAAGGAGGAACCCCCAGAAAGAGAGCTAAATGAAACAGAGGCAAGTAAACTATCAGATATTGAGTTCAAAACAATAGTTCTGAGGAAGCTCAATGAGCTCAGAGAGAATTACCAAAAACAACAGGGAAACTGCAAGGAACTTAGTGCAAACTGTATCAGCATGAAAAAGGACATAGAAACTATCAGTAAGAGTCAAGAGGAAATGAAGAGTACAATTTCTGAATTGAAGAACACAGTAGAAGGAATCAAAAGTGGGCTCGATGAAGCAGAGAATTGAATCAGTGAGCTGGAGGACAAGGTAGAAAAAGCTCCCAGAAAGAGCAAGAAAATGAAAAAAGACTAAAAAAGAATGAAGAGGCATTGAGGTAAATGCAGGACAACCTGAAACATAATAATATTCATATAATAGGGATACCAGAAGGAGAAGAAGAGGAACAAGGGATAGAGAACCTGTTTGAAAAAGTATTGATGGAAAATTTCCCTAGTTGGAGGAGGGAAAAAGTCACACAAGACCAGGAAGCACAGAGGGTCCCATGCAAGAGGAACCCAGTGAGGCCCACTCCAAGACACATCATCATTAAAATGGCAACTATCAAAGACAAACAGAGAATCCTAAAGGCAGCAAGGGAGAAAGTAGTAGTAACATATAAGAGAGCCCTAATATGGCTAGCAGCTGACTTCTCAACAGAAACACTACAAGCCAGAAGGGAATGGCAAGAAATATTCCAAGTCATGAAAAGCAAAGGCCTGCAACCAAGACTGCTCTATCCAGCAAGGCTCTCAATGAAAATGGAAGGCGAAGTAAGGAGTTTCCCTGACAAAAGAAGGCTAAAAGAATACACCTCCACCAAACCCGCATTGCAAAATATGCTAAAGGGACTGCTTTAAGAAGATGAAGAACCTAGGAATCTAGGAATACCCAATTCCTTTCACAGTCACCAATACTTGATATTACCAATATTTTTAATACTTATTAATCTGATTGTGACAACGATGTGTTATTTTCATTGTTACTTTATTATTTGTTGAAACTATACCTGTTTTTGTATATTTTCTTCCTATTTCTATTATTTTTAAAAAGCTTTAAATGACTTTTTGGTGTTCTTTATCCATTTTTTGGTTAAGTGTTTGTACAATTTTTTCCCTAAGAAAAAAAGCCAACAAACCTATTAACCCTTTTCTAGATGTGTTACAAATACTTTCCTATTCTATTACTTGTCCTTTAACTTTTTTATATGTATATTACTGTATTGTCTTAAATGTTTAATATAGTCATTTGTCAATATTTTACTTTATAATATTGAATTATAAAGGGTTTGAATATTTTACTTCAGAGTAAGAAAAATATTATTTTGTATTTTCTCCTAAAACTCCTTAGATTTTACATACTGATTTTTAACTCACCTGAATGTTTTTGTATAATGTGTGAAATAGGGCTCTATATTTGTTTCATTTCAAGTAATAGTGGTTCATGCACCTTATTTGTCAAATAAGCCTTATTTTCCCCATTGATTTGAAATATCAATTTAATCATATATTATTAGACAGATACATATGTTTGTTTCTAGAATGCTCATTTTATTTCATTGATCTACGTGATTATTTCTGTGCTGGTGTTCTGTTGTTTTAATTGCTGAGACTTTATAATGTATTTAAATTTTTAAATATTTTATAATGGATTTTGAGATTTAAAAAAATAAATAAATAAAATCAATCTACATTAAAACAAAAAAAGAAAGAACTCCTACCTTTTGTGACAACATGGATGGAACTGGAGACTATTATACTAAGTGAAATAAGCCTGTCAGTGAAAGGCAAATACCGTATGATCTCACCTGTAAGGGGAATCTATTCAACAAAATAAACCAACGAACAAAATCAACCACAGGCATGGAAACATGGAGCAGACTGAAAGTGACCAGAGGGGATGGGGAAGGAGGACAATGGTGGAAAGAAGGGGAAGGAACTAGACAAAGAACATGTATGAGTGACCCATGGACATGGACAACAGAGTGGGAATTGACTGTGGGGGGGTGGGGGTGCGATGGGTGGGGGAGGGCAAAGGGGGGAAATTTGAGACAACTGTAGTAGAATAAACATGACTTAAAAATATAAAAAGAAAAGTAAAATTGACAGGACTCATTTGGTTATTGGAGTATCAGAATACATAAAAGACATGTTTCCTGATCTTTCTCCTCTGAAAGAATATCTAAACTGATTGGTGTGACAGATATATCATACATGAAATGACATCAAAGAACATGTGTTCAGTGACAAATTGTATGGAAGTTTAGATCAATAAACTATGAATTATAAATTCTGATTTTTGCAGTTAATTCCACTTAATTTTCATTGTTACCATTCAGTTGGAATAATGGTACTTTGCTGATGAGACACAGTTCACTGTAGATCTTTCTATTTTGATTTTTTTTTCCATTCAGATGTTGCCAGAGCCATTGAATTACTGGAAAAACTACAGGAATCTGGAGAAGTACCAGTGCACAAGCTTCAGTCCCTTAAAAAAGTGCTTCAGAGTGAGTTTTGTACTGCTATTCGAGAGGTATGACACCAAGATTCTAATAACTATTTTCAGCCATACATACGTCTTCTGAACGGAAAACATGTCTTTTCCCCATGAATAGTTGAAATAGTTAAGACTGGAACTACATCTTTGCCTTCTGTTTTTAGCTCCTTGGACAGATGATAAAATATAATTTAGTCTGCTAAATTCTTAAATTAGATCCAGTCAGGATTTATACAGTCATATAAAACCAAATGTTGATCTTCTCGTACAGTAAAGTGACTGCCGTATTTGCAGGTAACTGTTACAGCTAGTTTAAACTATTTAGAGTTCACATAAAGTAACCTGGAAATTCAGTTAGAAATAATCATAATTAATAAGGTCTGAGATTTTCTTAAAAGAACATTCAGCCAGTCTTTTACAGGTAAATCTGAAAGAGTAACTTCCTACTTAGTAAAGTTATAGTTTTTCAAACTAGACATTACTCTCTAGTGCAGCAATTTTCAACCTTTTCCATCTCATGGCACACATAAACTAATTACAAAAATTCTGCTGGACACCAAAAAATATGTGTTTTTTGTTTGTTTGTTGGTTTTTTTTTTTGCCAAGCTGAGAGGAAAATAGGTATAATTTTTACTGATTTACAAAAAATAATAATAGTAATTACCTACCCTTTCTGCTCCAAGGTGATTTTTTAAACAAATCAGGTGCCTATAATTGTACATATGGATTTCTGGTACCAAGAATTAACCAATCAGACACAACCAGTAAGATGCAACTGTATTATATGACCTATATATTTATGGTTGAAGACAGGGCATTTACACCAGATGGCTAATGTTGTGTTGGCTGTTGTCATTTTTTTAATTTGATAATCTAAAGGAAAAGAGGTCAGTGCCCCTGAATAAATAGTCAGGTATTGGATGTTTGTTTTAAAAATTCTTCTGGCACATTGGTTGAAAATCGCTGGTCTAGTGCAATACTGGAAAATCTCTGAACAGGCTGATAGGCCCTTCTGACAAATTTGTAATGCTTTCTTGATTAATGGTTTTAAGATTCCTAAGGTGAAACAAGTATGTAATAATGATTATTTGAATTTTATATTGATTTGTGGTGGAATGGACTTGCCAACTAATGAATGTAATTGTTTACAAGAGAGTTTCCATGAGAAATATAGGCTGTATGCTTTTTGAATGAAATAATATTCAGTAAGCCCATCACCCCTTCCTTATCAGTTACTAAGAAATTATTTGTTAATTAGAACCTAAAGTCCATAAATTCAACATACCTGCCTTGCAAGACATCCCCAATAATGATTACCTGCCATCATCCTCTCCAAAGAGTTGACCCTAATGACTACCTGGAGAGCTTGGTATAGCAGAGGGCATATACCTCTCAGGGAATGTTTGTATCAACCTCCCTTTTTGCAGCTCTGCTTGTGGCTAATGCACATTCTTTTACTGCAACAATGCTAGTTGATGTGTAGTCATTAGGTGGGAAAAACTCAGGTCACTAAGGTAGAAACATACAAAACCTCTCTCACTGTAGATTTAAACGGTAGCCTACCCAATGTGGTTACATTTGGATTTTGCTAAGGTTTGATTTAGACTGTACCTGTGCTAAATATTTACCGTATGAAGTTGTTGGCTGTTTAATTTTTGTTTATGATGAACACAGCTTGAATAAATGACCATAATTGTATCTGCAAGTTTTAACCTAATATAAATTTGGAGAATGGCTGCAAGGAAGTCACTCAAAGTGTATGAATTCTTGGCCACCAGCTGCTCTGTGGAAAAGGTATAAGATACATGGAAACCCCATGGGCTTCCCCTTGGTTAAACTCCAGTAGTTAGTCACTCTGTAGACCAAGGTAAAATCGCCTATACACTCTTTACTTCCTTCACAGGGTGACACTTTCCTGAGTTTTATTGGCCAATTTTTCATTTCTAGATATTCCATCACTTCTTTTACTTTCGACAGGAATAACTAAAGGATAGGGCACATGAAATATGTACCTCTGCTCACTTGAAATTTGGCTTATGAGCAATGTAAAGTCTTTATCTTAATGGAACTTACATTCCAGTGAGAAAATGATGATAAATAAATATGCAGTACAATGTGAGACAGTATTAAAACTATAGAGATAAGTAAAGCAGGATTAGGGGAGAAGGAGTAAGGTGCTATTAAATTAGGATAATAAGAAAATAACCTGCCTGAAGTAATGGAACAAGTCAAAAATATCAGGGGGTTATAGCATTTTGGACACAGGAAACCACAACTACAAAACCCAGAAGCAGGAATGCTCTTAGTCCATGGAAGGAACATCCCAAAACTCAGAATGTCTACAGTGAAGTAAGCAAGGTAGGCTACCTAGAAGCAGCTGGAGAGCAGATTATGTGAGGTGTAGCAGGCTATGGTAAGAGCATTGGATTTCATTCTAACCATGATAGGAAACCCTAGGAGAGTTTTGACCTGACCTGATTAGATTTTAAAGTGTCTCTGACTGCCGTGGAAATACAAGTGTGTGTGTGCAGGAGGAGAAATAAAGGAATCCAGAAATAAAAGGATAAGTAGATCAAGTGAGAGAGGAGAGGATGGTAGCTTGGATGAAGGCAGCAACAATACAAGTAGTAGAAAGTTGTCAGATTCAATATATACTTTTTAGAGTAAAGTCAGAAGAAATAGTTGATGTATTGGCTCTAAGGATGACAGAATTCTCAATTGGTTGTTAGGTTTGGGCTTAAACAACTAAATGAATGGTGATATAACAGATGGGAATCATTAGTGGGGACCAGGGATGGAGACTATCCAAAGGTTCTGCTGGGACATAGTAAATTTCAGACATCCAAATAGAGGTTTAGCTGGCACCTAAGTGTGAAGGTTGGAGGATAAGTTGGGTCTGGGGATGTCATTGTGGTATAGATATCTGTCCAAATCATCACACAGGACATTTTCTTTAAAAGAGTTTGTTAAGAAAAAAGATAATGAGAGTAAAAGAAAATAGATATGGAGACATTATATAGGAATGGTTATTTTTTAATATATTTTATGGATTATGCTTACATTTAGTTACAGTTGTCCCAACTTTTTTCCCTTTGCCCCCTTCACCCAGTGCTCCCCATTTCCTCTGGCAATCCTGCCCCCCGTAGTTCATGCCCATGGGTTGTGCATGTAAGTTCTTTGGCTACTCCATTTTCTATACTGTTTTTAATATCTCCCTGTCTATTTTGTCCCTATCAATTTGTACTTCTTAATCCCTGTACCTTTTCCCCCGTTCTCACCCTTCCCCCTCCCAAATGATAACCCTCCAAATGATCTCCATATTTATAATTCTGTTCCAATTCTGCTTGTTTGCTTAGTTAGTTTTTTAGATTCAGTTGTTGATAGTTGTGAATTTATTGCCATTTTAGTGTTCATAGTTTTGACCTTCTTTTTCTTAAATAAGTCCCTTTAACATTTCACGTAATAATAGCTTGGTGATGATGAACTCCTTTACCTTTACTTTGTCTGGGAAGCTCTTTATCAGTCCTTCCATTCTAAATGATAGCTTTGCTGGATAAAGTAATCTTGGTTGTATGTCCTTGCTTTTTATCACTTTGAATACTTCTTGCCAATATCTTCTAGCTTGCAAAGGTTTTTTTGAGAAATTAGGAGAAGCATTGGTTCTGGCCAAGATGGAAGTGTAGGTAGATATGCTTTGCTTCCTCACACAACCAAAAGAAGGACAACAACAAAAACAAAAAACAACCAGAACTGCCAGAAAATTGAACTGTATGGAAGTCTGACAACCAAGGAGTTAAAGAAGAAACATTCACCCAGACTGGTAGGCGGGGTGGAGATGGGCAGCAGGAGGCTGGCAGACCAGGTAGTCCCGTATTTGCATGCAGATAAGCTGAGAGGAACAACTGGGGAGTGAGACAGACTATGCAACCTAGGGTTCCAGTGTGGGAAACTAAAACCTCAAAACCTCTGGCTGTAAATGCTTGTGGTGTTTGTGGAGCTGGAGAAACTCCTAGCCTCACAGGAGAATTGGTTGGAGAGGCCCACAGGATCCTAGAATGTACACAAACCCACCCACATGGAAATCAGCACCAGAAGGGCCCAATTTGCTTGTAGGTAGTGGGGGAAGTGACTGAAAGTGGAGCGAGAGCTGAGCAAGTGGTATTGTTCCCTCTCTGACCCCTCCCACACAGACAGCACTACAACACAGTGAAGTGGGTTACCCCATCCTGGTGAGTGCCTAAGGTTTCACTCCTTATAATGAGACAAAGAAATGCAGCCCAAATGAAAGGAAAGATCAAAACTCCAGAAAAAAAACTAAGCAATGAGGAGACAGACAACCTATTAGATGCAGAAAAGCTGGTAATCTGAATGCTCACAGAAATGGTTGAGTATGTGTCACAGGGAGTTCTGCACAGGACGCTCCTGGATCTGAGGGTTACTGTCCGGAGCCAGCTGAGGAGGGAGCAGGGCTCTGAATCCTGCAGAGTGCATCCTGGAGTTGTCACAGATCGGGGAAATAAACACAAGTTGTTGCAAACACTTCTCTGTTTGCCGGGAGAGGGGTCATGGCTCTTCCCTCTAGTGGAGAAGGCGCCAAGCCCTTGTGTCCAAAGGCTTTTATTGAGAACCATATGCACAGGGGTATCGGTGCAAAGCTCATTAATCAATGTCAAAAGGCTATGTTTACAGAAAACAGACAGAGATCATAGATAACAATTGGAGGAGCACAAGAGATCTCCCTCAGGTCAGGGTCTCTGAATAATGTAAATCCTCCTTCCCAGTGTGAGCCAGTTATCATAGCTTTTGAGGGAAGAACAAAGCGTGCTTCAAGGAACTTCTAGGCCTGATTTCCACCCGATCCAGCTTAGGGCTGTATCTGCCTTTAGTATTGTTTCAAGACTGAGCCAGATGGGCAGGGCAGAGCCACCAAGAGATAAGTAGACTTTTTTTCAGATGGAATGAGGACCCTGGCCATGTCCAAGCCATGCTGAGGGGTGAGGACCTATTTGC